GAATTTAAAATAAAATATGTTTAGTAATCATATTTCTCTAATAATTGTATTTTCTATTTTTATTTCTACTAGTTGATATAACTACAACTTTTACTAGATAAGTATTTAACAAGGAATTAGGATTCTCTTCATGCAAGTGAATTTTCTTAACAAGTCTACTAAAACTATTTAAGTCTTGATTGAGGTAGTTGCTATTAATCACCTATTTTGGTGGAACTATGTGTTATTTATGTTCTTGCAAGGGAAGGGACTAAGGGCGTTCGTTACCTTCTACGAACTTAAGCATGTAGTACTTTTTGTATGCATACTTAACTCGATCAAAAAGACCTTCCATCCCAAGAAATTAGTGTTTCCATGTCCCAAGTCAATCACAGTGCACCAAATAATATAAAAAAATTGTTTTCTGTTTTTTAATTTTCTTTTTAATTAGGTGACAGTTTTTAATTAGGTTGGGACACACTTGAAATACCAAAAGTGAGACAGGTGATCTTCATTCTAACTGATTGTGTGGGACAATACATAGAAGGCTCCCACTTGAGAATAATATTCTGAAGTTATTAGGGTATCCCATTTATACCTTAAGCAAAGAAGGGTGTAGCAAAGTCCCTTTATCAACACGTTTGTTGTTGTATGTGATTCATTTAACCGGACTCATTTTAAGTGACACTATTACATATGAATTATACGATAATACTCAATGTAGTCAGCACTGTACATGTGTTAAAAATATAAACACACTTACTGAAGATGATGTTGTCGTATGTATGATATACAACAATGTTCACATAAACGCTGTTAAAACATATCATATAGTAGTGTGATCCATAGATAGCACACGAAAACGTTGTTATATGCCCAAAATGTGTGTTGTTGATTTACATATCTATATATAGCGTAGTTCTAGTTTATGCATCAAAAGAACTAGACGGATTGGGAGGAAATGGTTTCTCAAAGTCCCTTTATGCAATGGCTATGGGTCTCTTGCAAATTGTTGGTTAATGCCTTTATATTTTTTTGTACTCCTTTATATTTTTTGTATGGAGTGAGAAAGTTGTTAGGATAAAAGTGAGTTGATATATATATGTGTATTGCCTTTACCCAGTTTTGCAATTTAAAAATGAGAATATTTGTTTTCTCATTTTAGGAGGTTCATCCCCTCCAAGTGTAGTATAATCCAGAGTTTCATTATATCATCTCCTATGAGATAATTTATAGATAAAACCTTATTTTCGCCTATATTTATTTCCACTACTTTAATATAAGAAGGGGAAATATCCACTTACTCCAAGAGTAAATGGAAAAGACCTACTCCACATCTTAGCCATCCAATTTTGGGAAATCTAATGGTTTAGATTATTCACCAATTCAAACCATTGGATTTCCCAAGAATGAATGATCACGATGTATGTTTTTTCCACTTACTCTTGGAGAAAGTGGATCCCTCACCATATAAGAAAAGTACCTTATTATATTATGGTAAATGTTTTTTTTACATCAAACCTTAAACAACAATAGTGTCTCTAATGTCTTCTTCTTTTCCAATGTTTTTAGGAAAACATGTATATACAAAAAAAGATAAAATATGGATGAGATAGAATAAAATTTATATTGTATGTGTGTCAAATATATTGTTAAAATTTTGACGCAGAAATAATGAAATTTCTTTATTTTATGTATAAAAAAGACAGTCTCTTATCAGTTAAAATCAAATAAAAAATTATCCTTAATTGGAAATAAGCATGTATTTTGGTATAGATTATATTTTTATTTTCAGTTTATAAACTGTGAGATTATAAACTGTAAGATTATAAACTGTTAAGATTATAATTTGTTTGTGTTTGGGTACTTTAGCTGAAAATTGAATATAAATTAATCTGTTTTGTTTAGGTATGGTATAAAATTTGTTTTTACATAGTAAATTACATAAAAGAGTATGAGTTTATTTGTTTATGTTATGATTATTTTGGTTGTTTTTTACACTAATTTTTAAATATACATTTTTTAATATTTATCATCATATATATTTTTACTTTAAATTTGTAATATTGCATAACAAATGCTAAAAAAATATATTAAAATAAAATACAATATAAAAACTAATATTAATATTAAAAAACAATATAAGATCAACATAAACAAATAACCTCATACATAGTTAAACATAAACTAAAAAACTAAACCAACCCTTGATTTTTAATATTGCATAATAACAAAGGCTAAAAAAATATTAAAATAAAATACAATATAAAAACCAATATCAATATTAAAACAATATAGCACTTAAATAAATGGAAGTTACTAAACTTAAATTACATAATTCAAAAAATAAATAATACATAAATGTTAAGTTTTATACAAAAAGTTTTAGGGTTTATACATAATTCACATAATTTTAATATTATATAACAAAAGTTTTATACATAATTCTTTGTTTGTGTATAGATAAAGAAAAACGTTATGGAAAATTACAGGGTTGAGTAGTGATAGAGAGAGAGAAAAATGAGAATTATGGAGTTTGGTGGTAATGATGTGAAGAATTATGGTGTTTGATGGAAGAGTAAAAATGAGAAGAGAGATAAAATTAAGATGAGGTAAAATGGGAAATAGAAAAATTGAGAAAAAATAAGCTAAAAAAAATAAATCAACCCATGATTTTGGAGCTTATACTTTTGGCTTATTTTTTCAGAAAAAAAGTTGAGTTTATAAACTTCACTAATTGCTAAACATACATAGTTTATATTTTCAGCTTATTTTTCAAAAAATAAACTTAAACTACTAAAAACAAACCATGTCAAATAAGTCTTAAGTACTAAACAAATGAAGCCCTAACTTTAAAATGAACGTTATAATTGAGAAATTGTATTGCTATATATTTAATTAAATCTATTTTGGCATGCTTATTTCTTCCAAATCATCATCCAAGCACATATAAACTTCGTCTAGCAATGAAAGTTCTGATCCACTGTCATCGTCATGGCAATAGAAGTTTTGAGACTTGTTTTCATACACTCGACATAAAACCCAGTTGCTCCAACTTTGTTCCTGCCATGCACGATTTAGAGGATAAAATTAAAAATTATATAAGGTTCATTTATTTCCCATGTCTATAAAATGAAAATATATATATATATATATCAGAAGTCATGTCTCATTCGGTATTGTGCACCAACGATAATGAACCAAATAATTGAATACTTAACTTATATGTTTTGGACAACATATAAGATATGATTTGAGATAACAAATATCTGATTCTATAAAATATGCTTATATAACTAAATAATTGAATACTTCACTTACATGTTTTCTTCTACTTTGGTAACATGAAGTGTCAAACTCAAAGGAACAAATATGATATTCTTGCATTACCCAACTTGTTTCAGTACCTTGTGGACCCTCTCCAACGTTGAACACAAGGTACTTCTTGATTCCTACTTTCTTGTCAATGTCTGAGAATATAGGATAGGTTACGCCTATTTCCCTCCAATACCCATTTTCTATGGCTCTGTGTTCCTTCATTTTTGTGAAGAAATAGTGTTCATTTCCACTTGACAAAGCTTTACCTATATAAGTTAATAATTATACTAATTAAATATGCATACTGTTTTTGTTCTATACATGCAATCAACATATACTGTTATACCAATATGATAATATTGATTGGATAGACTAATAATTAAGTGAAGAAAGTGAACTAAGCATACCATTTAATTCCCAAGGATGTAGAAAAGAAAGATCAAGTTCAGGGATGATGTTGGGATGGCATGGTAGAAGAGAAGCTTTAGAATAGAGAAAATGAAAGACAAGTTCTTCATCTGTTGGAGAGAAGATAAACCCAGGAGGAAGGTTGATGCTTGCACTTGCCATCATATCTTTCTGTATTGTTGAATTTCTTAGTAGACTTTGCCTCTTCGATTAATGTTCTCACAACATACAAACATATATAATATGTGAATTGGTATCCTCTCTTAACCGAAAATAAAATACAACTTTCAATAATATATTTATCATTCTAATTATAATGAAATTACACTTTTATTATTAAAAATAAAAAATATATTAACTTGTTTCTCCATTAATCAAGAGAATTTCAATAAATAAAGTAGAAAGGGAAGAGAGAGATCGTGGTTGCTTGTTGTTTAAAATAGAGAGGAAATGCTGCGATACGTGGAATACCATAATTAGAAAGTAGGTCCAAGAAGGAGAAAGCCGGCTAACTAAAGTTAGAAAAAGAAGTTAGCAATATTAATATGTCAAGACTAAATTATTGTAGTTAGTTAGTTAAGTTAACAAAGATAACAAGCAAGTGAATTAACTTGAAGAGATTTATTCTACCTTAACAAGAGGTTCAAGTATCTGAAAATACAATTACATTAAATATTTAATTCTTAGGAAGAATAAACTTGTTATTTATTGTGGTTTGACCTGCCTCAATAATAAAAATATTGCCTTTGTAGAGGAGGCAAGTGGCTCAAACCAAAAAAGGTTAACAAGGATAAATTTGAAGCTATCCGACAAGAAATTATTACATACTTGTCCTAGAAATATATATAAATCTAATACATTAGGATAATGTTCTTTAATGTTGAAGGGGTGGTAAAAGTCTGTATCTACTCGTTATATCTGGATAACAATATTGGCCCATAATACATGAGGATAAATGTTAGTCGTTAATATGTTAGTTGTTAGTATTTGTTTTGGACAAGACTCGAACCCTCAATCTCATTCACTTCACTTATTCTCTTTAATCATTAAACCACCTTATAACTCATTTTTTTTTTAAATTTGGTATGGGTGATGCTCAAACCCACAACCTCTTCCACTCCATTCCTTAAACTCTTCACCTTAACCACCAAACTGACTCCCTAGAATCAACCAGGGCAACCAATGATCAAGTGATGATTTCTTATGTGTGAAGATGAGTGAGTGAATTTACTTATTTATATTGTAAGGTGAAATTGTCAACAATCCAAGGGGTGTCTGTACTCATTGTGGATGATGTGAGCTTATCCTTTCTCGACCTATCCGACTAACACAACTATAGATTTGGACCACATTTGTTGTATGAGTAACATGAACATGACCTATTCAAGTGACTTGATCTTAGCTTTGATGTGAAAGAAAGTTTTTCAGCATAGTAAGTACTGACTTTGTCATATTATATCGATGTCGTTATTTCCTCAAGCTATCATAGTCTTCTTGAAATGATTGTCATTCATCATACAAACAAACAAGTGCTCTAGATTTTTACTTTTTTCTATAAAAAAAATTCTTCAAAAAGCTATCTCTCTTATATTTCCAGAAGAGTCCGGAGAAGAATCATTTCCAATTGATTGGCCACTGAAACGAGAAAACCTTCTTTTGACTAAACACGCGTCACAAGTGTTCATGTCATATGTTCACATGCACGATTCTTCAAATTCCAAACTACACATATATGACACCCACTAAGTCATTAAATGTAGATGCAAACTTACATGTGTCGTTTTTATCAACAGTACAGATTTTACTTTTTTTTAATAAAATAAAAATTATCCAACATTTTATCCTTCATATTTTGGTAGAGCTGAAAACACGAGTCGGATCGAGTCGAATCAGAGTTCAATTCGGTTCAACTTGATAAAGATTTGCTCAGCTCAAAACTCGATTCAAATTCGATACAAGTTAATTTTTTAGCTTGAGTTTGACTCAATCCAAAAACTATTCGATTCAATTCTAATTAATTAATTTGGACAACTCAAATAATTAATTCATTTTCAAAAGTATTGCCCAAGGTTATAGGGATTGTGTCATCCCCTATATACACGTATATGTATATAAAGATTGACACAAGTGAGAACAATTCTTGTATAAAAACTATGAGAACAATAAATTTGGATCTTACAATCAATCATGAATGATTATGATTAAAAGTTAGTTATTGGTACATGATAATCATATGTATATATCTTTTAATCTTGACCGTTCAAATAAGATTCAATAGTCCATGTTAAATATTCTCATTTATCACAATATTGCATTGTTTTCATGTGAGTCATTCCCCATGTATATATGTATAGCCAACTCATGAACCTAACAAGTCGAACTATATCCAGCTCAAGTTCGACTTGTTTATTTAACGAGCTCAAGTTCATCTCATTTGGTTTGTGAAAGCTAAATAATGAGTCAAGTTTCGAATAAATATGAAGTTGGTTTGATTTATTCTCAATCTTATACTCCAGTACCGGAGGGACTAGTACCAGAGAAGGTCCCAACCAATACAAGAAAGTTGATCCACTATTTTTTGGTAGGTGGTAAGTTATAATTTTAGTCACTTCCATTCTTGTTTTGGTATGAGTAAGAAATTAATCTCTTTTGGATACGTGATTACCTCTTTCAACAAGTGTCGCTCTCTGTAATCGATATATAGATGAGTTATAAGAGGCATATATTGAAATTAATTATGCCAAACACCATAATATATTTATATTTATATTTATTTTGAATCATATAACTAATGTAAGTTATACTTCTCTAACACCATAATATACGTTCAAGTTTTTATGTTATCTCAATATATCTGATTACTTGGTTTGTCTTGAACTTTATTAGATTATGATCCAAATGACCATATCAAAATAGTGGGTTGATCCGAATAAACTAAACTTATCCCATACACACCCTAATGAAAAACTACCTTTTATTAAAGGTGTCCTCTAATTGAAAGCTAAAGACTAATTCATAGTGTACCAAAAATAGGTAAAATATTTTAAAAACATTTTTATACAGTGACGCGTACGTTGGTCTGTGTCAACTCGTATCGCCCCACAAAATGGGTTTGGAATCTCCATGAAGAGTTCACCAATAAAATGTGAAATTCATGATGGATTTGATGATATTTTTTAAAATATTTAAAAATAATTTAAAATTTATATCGTTAATTATTTGAAGTATATATATTATTATTATTTCATTTAGTACTGGACCATAAAGTACCGAGATTCTACAACAAAAGTGTATAAAGAGTTGTTGATATAGTCTCCTGCCTTATCACCATACCACTATCCCCAATGAACAATTTAACAAAAGAAGTATTAGTGTGATACAAAATAGAATAAAGTTAGGTTAGTTTTAATCAACCGACGTGGGAACTTGGCTGTATTACGTGAACCACGAACAAATAAATATTATTGGATAACTTTATGACTAAATGTCTGCTCCATAAGCCATCATTAACGCTTCACTAAAAAGATAAAGTTTATGTGCATCTTTGTTATGAAGTAGTTGGGAGGTCACTTTAAGCCACCACTAAGTTGATCCAAAAGGGAAGGAAAAAAAAGTATTCATGTGGAACTGCCACTTATATCTTATCTTTGCATTCCCGTGGCTTGTGATGAATGTATTGAGTTTGGGCTTCTTTCCTAAGTAGAAAAAAACTCAATTGGTCAAAACACACTTGTCTCACTTAACCTAGTTGAGAGGGGTAAGATGAGGCAAGAATGTGCAATCAGATTATGCAAAAGGAGACAATAGAAAAGTGAGAGAGGAGAGAAAATAACTCAACCCACAAGAACTCATAGCATCTTTGGGAAATTCCCGATTGCGCCTTCACTCACTGTTGGATTGGCCTGAAATTTGGACAATAGGTTCACAATTTCTGGTAATTTATTCTGAATGGTTTGATTGATGAGAAGTAATCCGAGGTGGAATAAAACGATCTATTATAATGGCTATTTTTCTGGTTTTTTTGCTACTTGTTGATCTCGTTTTCAAACTTGTTGCTCTGTTATATGTCTTGTTGTTGACCATGATTTGTGCTGTATTTTGAGACACTATTGTATTCATATTTTAATCATAGTGGAGCTTGATTGACTGGTTTATGTCTTTGTTGTTTTTACTTCTCACATTGGGAAGATTTTCTCATATTGGCCCTGCAAACAAACACAATTAGAGAACTTGCTTGGCACATCATGCACACGTCTTGGCACTATCCTTGGCGCAACATGGCAGGCCTTGGTGCACGAAGTGGCACACCATTGCCGGACTGTAAGGTATCTTTAGCAAGCCTTGGCGCATCATGACCCGCATCATTAGCACGCCTTGGGGCATGACTATTGGGAACCTTGGATGGCAAGTTAACTTGCTTGAGACTAAGGGTGGCAGATGGATGGATTTGGATGAAAATGGATTGATGAAAAGTCATCTATCAATCCATTTAAATTCATTTAAATCTTATTTTAACTTATCCAATCCATTCATATTCAATGGATTATAATCCATCCAATTCATCAATGACTCCATTTTCATAGATTTGGATGGATGAATATCCAATCCAATTCATGACTTCACATTTTTACAAAGTATTTTTAAAAAAACATTTGTAAAAAGATTTTTTAAAACATTTTTAAAAATGTTAACTTTTAAAGTTTTTATCCTAAACACTGAAAAGAGTAATAAATTTAAAAAATTAGTTTTAAAGTTTTTAATGGTAATTGGTAAATCATGTGGTTAAACTTAATTTTTCAGTCTTAAAACCTTCAAGTGAGTTTCAGGTTATTGTTGTTAGAAAAATTTGACGTATATCATGAAATTCTATATTTTTTTGTTATTTCTCTTACTCTTCATGATTTTTTTGGTTGGTTATATACATAAATTATATTTACCAAAGTTAAATTACACGATTGATAGAAAGTTGAAGTATAAGAGAAATAGAATTGACAAGAAATGTTAAACACTCAAATCAATTATGTTGAAGGCTAAGTAAAAAAAATTTTATACCCAAAGCAAGATAACCAATAAACGTCTAAAAAACACAAATTCACAAAATTAAAGCAAATTCTCATCAAAATTAGAGACTAAAATAACATAAATTCACAATGTTGCATTAATATAAGTTTAAGCTTAAAAATAACTAGTAACAATCATGACAAAGTCTTCTGCGTGATGAGGGAGTTTCACGTACAATAATCAGCAACGTAGTTTATCATTTCAACATATGCATCCACAATACAATATAACAAACAATATTCTAATATATATATATAAGGAATCAAAAAATATATTAATCAATCTTGAAGGAACATCAAAACTAAAATAAACTATTGGGGAAAACGAAACCTTCAATTGAGATGAGAATGAATCAAGATATTGGAAAAAAAACCCTCCATATTGGAAAAAAAACCCTCCATTAGTTGAAATAGACGAGGAAGCACATTTGATATTAAAAAGAAAGTATAATTGTTAGATGTATTGATCCAATATACTCCCAAAAGTGAGGGGTGGCATGGAGAATAATTTTATGGAAGAAGAATCACTCATCCCAAGAAATTAGTGTCTCTATGTCTCAAGTCAATCACAGTATACTAAGTAATGTAAAAAAAATTGTTTTCCATTTTTTTAATTATGTGACAGTTTTTAATTAAGTTGGTATACACTTGAGACAACAAAACTCTAAAGAGTAAGGTTCACTGGTAACTGTTTTTTTTCTCTTTTATTTAAGAGAATGTTTTATTTCTTCTATGTAACTTTCATTCTAACTCAATCCTACTATGTGAAAGGCATCACAGGGTGTTTTCTAAATTATACTGAACTGCATATTTAAATCTAGTCAAGTTCCTAACTCCATTCAACGAAAAATGTATTGTAACCGGATGGGAGAAACAATAGATGATCAACACACATTAACAAATATATGTCAATTCAATTTGGTATATGATCACTAATTCGGTTGATTTTTTAGCATTATCAATATTCAGCCACAAACTTGAGGACCCAAGAGCACCACTTCTTTTAATTCCTAATTCATTATGAAGAGGGTAAGGATTATGAACAACGGTGAGGATTTTTTCTATTTCTTTTCCCCCTAAATCCTTGCATGGAGATTAGTTCATGCAAGATTTACATACCCATATGTCTTCATTACTTATGCGATAAATTTAAAATAATAAGAGTGTAATATCATGTACGTACTGTCACTATAAAGATTTATACACAATCAGCACAATCCACCATGATAAATAAACATGAATAGATAATAATGCGGCGACATTGTATAAAACACGATTACAGTGTCATTCATACAATTTTTTCCCTCAAATATTAATGTCTCAAACATGTTGAAGGGTCACTGTTAAGCTTATTCCCTTATCATCCATGCTTCAAAACCATTTACAGATTTAGCATCACCCTCCAATTGTTTTGCAGTTAAGATGTTTATAATTTATGAATAGCTTTCCATTTAAACAATGAGACACCAAGAATACCCACATGAACTATTTTATTTGAATAACTCTATTTTCCAATTTGGTATAGAAATATTAAGAACAAGTGCACGTGAACTATGTAAACAAGCTCCTCGAGGACCACAATGGCTATATAAATAATAAGTAATTAACATATTTTACATGATAATTGGTGATGCTAATCAAATATCACTACTTAATCAGTGTACTCTATGGAGATCAGTGTATAATGTAATGTTTAATGTAAACTAATATATGCAAATTTTGGTAAGAACATATTGCCAGAGAACTAAGTGTGTTTGGAAATAATACCTTGGCAGAGAAGAGAAAGAGAGACACATCCAAACGAAGAGACAAAAAACAACCTTTTCAATGCAGAAACAAGGTTGTGAGATTGAGGCAATAGGTATCAACTACAAGATCAGCACTCACAGACAACAAAGCAACCTTTTAAAATCTTCAGCGAACCTCCACAACTTCGTAACGAAGAAAACGGAGAGGAAGCAGCAGAGGAAGCAGCAGAGGAAGCAAAAGCTGAACAAAGATCAAGCAGTGTTAAGCATGTCCTCAAGGATGTGAATTGCAAGGTAAAGCCATGGGAAATTCTGGCCATTGTTGGGCCAAGTGGAGCTGGTAAATCATCCCTTCTTAAGATTCTTGCTGGAAAAGTTAGTCCACAGAGTGGTTCTATCTTGATGAACAACAAGCCCGTAGATAAATCTCAGTTCAGAAAGATCTCAGGGTGTGTTACACAAAAGGATACCCTTTTCCCCTTACTTACGGTTGAAGAAACCATCATGTTTAGTGCAAAGCTAAGGCTAAATCTTCCCCGAGGACAAATATTCTTCAGGGTTAAGTCACTGATTCAGGAGCTTGGTCTTAGCCATGTTGCTAGGTCTAGAGTTGGAGATGAAAGGGTACGCGGTGTATCCGGTGGCGAGAGACGCAGAATTTCCATTGGCGTTGAAGTGATACATGATCCAAAAGTGTTGATTCTGGATGAACCAACTTCAGGACGTGACAGTACCTCGGCTTTGCAAATGATTGATATGCTTAAAGTGATGTCTGACTCTAGGGGAGAACTATAATCCTTAGTATCCATCAACCTGGCTTCAAGATAGTGAAGTTATTGAATTCAATGCTGTTGTTAGTCAATGGTTCTGTGTTACACCATGGCTCTGTGGATTTGCTTGATATAAATATAAGGTTAATGGGTTTAGAGCTTCCTCTTCCTGTGGATTTGCTTGATATTTCATCTTGGTTTACAGGTTCATTTCTTATGTAATCCTTAGATACCGATGCTCACAGAGAGACATCCTCTAAAAACTATGGTGACTATCTCTTCTCTCTTAAGACCAAAGGAAGATTTATCATTGTATCAAAAGAGGTTATAATGAATTACAGGTTTGGCCAATGAAACAATTTGTGCCAATATGATATTGTGTTGGTTTGTGTTTTCAATTATTGAACACTTAGTTCACATCTCTCTCTGAGAATGACTAGAAAAAATTAATGAAATTAATGGTATTGTGCCAAAATATGCAGTTTCATAGTTCCAAAAAGGTTTGTTTGGTGGGGTTTAGCAAGGTTATGAACACCATGCATGCAGTTATTCAATTTCAAATTAAAGAACAAGAATAATGCAATTTCAAACACAGAGGACTACTGGGTTAAAAAATCGGCACTAGGAACACATGTATAATTTCAGTTAAGATCAGCTCACAGATTCCACCAATTACGCATAAACCTTTAAGAAATGCAGACTCCTCATAACAAAATGTAAACCTACTTCAAACACAAACATACAATGTTTGATTCCCTGCCTTGTTTCAGATCATGTATATGTTCTAAGTCATATTGAATAAACTAGTGCAATGCATTAAGTAGAATGCATGATTGCCATGAAACTTGTCCATACGAGACTTATAAAAAAAAATATGAGACTAGCTGAAAAAACACAGTATTCTGAATCAGCTCATTATGCTTAAATAAAGGTGATTAAAATTCAATGGTTAAAATAATTTTTATTCTGAATGCTGAATAAACACAGTATTCTGAATCACCTCAATGGCCAATTTTATCAAAGTGGGCCATCATAATATCATAGCTGTTTTGCTCTAAAAAATAGTGAAAACAGAGTTTTACTATAACTAAAACAAAAGTTTTTCACCAGGCTTGGTCAGTAAGCCTAATTTCAATGACAATCTGTAATCTTAATATAAAGTACACATCTTGGGAGGGATAGCTTACAATCATTTCAAAATTTCTAAATCCCTGAATGCTAATGGCTAAGTGCCCATATGATATTGATATACAAGATGTGTTCATTCTGTAAAAGTGGGGCTCATAGTTCTAGCAATCAGACTGCACATATGATCAAAATCAATGAATCTTGTGTATAACTGCAAGAAAGCAGGTTAGAAATCGGTGGTACTAAATGTAGAATGTATTCAAGGATCTGTAGCTAAAGCTTATTAGTTTTGTTGAGAAGTAACTCTCACGTCGCTTAACTCATTATTTTGAGAATGATTTAAATATTTGTTATCTTTATTAATTAATTTTGAGATGAAACCTTAAATATGGTATCAGAGTCAAAGTTTCAATCGCCTACCTTATACATATAGCTTAGGGTTTGGCTA